AAAGATTCATATTAATAAACCATGGATAACAATCCATGCACTATAGAAGTCAAGTTTAGGCAATCTGGAGTCTGATTGCTTGAGTTTGAATCCTGCCTTTGGCATATTTCTCAATCTCTCTGGGTTTCAGTTTCTTTATATATAAAATGAAGATAATAGCACTTACCTTGCATCTCCTGTGCGGTGCTTTCCTAAAGAAATAAAAAAATACACGCCACCAAACCTCATCACCAGAGATTACCACAGACTACTGTATGGTGATTACCAGAGGGAAAGCGGGGTTGGGGAAGGTAGAAGACGGTATAAGGAAGAGATAAAATGGTGATGGAAGGAGACTTGACTTGGGTGGTGACCGGAGATAAAATGGTGATGGAAGGAGACTTGACTTGGTGGTGACCATGCAATGCAATATACAGATCATGTATTATAGAATTGCACACATGAACCCTATATAATTTTTTAAACCAATGTCATCCCAATCAATTCAATTAAAATTATTAAAAAAAGAATTTTCAAAAGTAATTTTGACAATTAATGATTTTTGCTTCATGCGTTAACTTCAGGATTCCCCATAAAATTTACATTTAAATGTTTGTTGAATTTGTTAAGCAGAAGTACAGGGTCATTGACTCAGTTATTCATTATCAAGAGATGAAACTTATTCAAATCTTGGATGGAAAAAGCTGTCTTCTAGTAGTTTAAGTAATACTTTGTTTGACATCTAGGCAGAAATGGATGCCTTTTCTTTTTCATAATTTACCTGTATTCTTACCAGTATTCACTAAGTTTAAATTTATGCCTATGTGTTGCTCATAGAAATTGAATACATAGTACCTAATTCTTTCAACTATTTTCTTTTAGAAAGCGATTAGTATTTTTTTTTAAAGATTTTAAAATTGATAGAGAGAGAGAAACAGAAACATTGATATGAGAGCTACATCAGTCCTGTAACCCAGGCATGTTCCCTGACCAGGAATCGAACCGGCAACCCTTCAGTGCACAGGACAAGGCCCAACCAATTTAGCCAGTCAGCCAGGGTGAGATTAGTATTTTTTGAACCCACCAAAGTTACATGTAGGAGGCCAGATTGCCAAGAGTGGAGTAATGTGAGTTTGGAGTTATTGTGTGTAAGCAATGGTAGTGGGAAGTTACTAGGGGGTTTCTAGCAGGGATTGACAATTCAGCTTGTTAAAAAGATCTTTCAGATGGATTAGAAACTGATTTGTTGTAAGAGATGCAGGGGAAAGATGCATTTTCACAGAAATTTAGTATCAAATATTATGAATCACCAATTTTAACGTTTAGAACCTTAAAAAAACTACTCAAACTAAAAGTAATTTCCGTAACAAATTGCTTTATAGTTTAAAAAATCTCTTTAGTAACTTTAAACTTTTTCCTCCAGTGCATTTACTTAATTTCTGCCTAGTGTTGGTCTCACAGCTTAAGGTCTAGTTCCTGACATACTAGTAGTTGGTGTTAACTGATAATCTGGCATTGTGCTAATAAGCAGCTTTTTGTCCTAAATTCTATCAGTGGAGCAAAATAATGAGCTTTTCTATACCATCTCTATTGCAATGTTATTCTTTCTTGTTTTTTTGTTTTCCTTTTTAATCCTCACCCTAGGATATTTTTCCATTGATTTCTAAAGAGAGAGTGGAAGGGAGGGGGAGAGATAGAGAGAAACATCAATGTGAGAAAGACAAATCAATTGGTTGCCTCCTGCAGGCACCCCAACCAGGACTGGTGATTGAGCCTGCAACCAAGGTATATGCCTTTGACTGGAATCAAACCTGGATGCTCTGTTCACTGAGCCAAACTGGCTAGGGCATGTTCTTCTTTCTTTGTCATTTATTAACAGTTGGGCAGAAAGTAATGGGGTGAGGAGTGGGGTGAGCAGAAGGTGCTAGGGATGTTAACCAAGATCAAGAACTATGCAAAAGGAGTTTGGATGCTTGCTGAATGGGCAGTGGTGGAGCCATGGAAGACAATTTGCAGTAATTTGATCCTTTTATGCTCAGTGTCATTCATAGCATTGATTTTTCTTTCTTTCTATAGTACACCTAGAGGCCCAGTGCGCGAAATTCGTACCCTGGGGGAGGGGGGAGTGTCCCTCAGCCCGGCCTGCACCCTCTCACAGTCCGGGAGCCCTCAGGGGATGTCTGACTGCTGCAGAGGCGGGAGAGACTTCTGCCACCGCTGCTGCACTCGCCAGCCGTGAGCCCGGCTTCTGGCTGAGCGGCGCTCCCTCTGTGGGAGCACACTGACTACCAGGGGGCAGCCCTGCATTGAACATCTGCCCCCTGGTGGTCAGTGCACGTCATAGCGACTGGTCGTTCCACCGTTTGGTCGATTTACATATTAATTAGCCTTTTATTATATAGGATAGGGAAAGGAAATTAGCAGGTTCTGATTTTGGCCTTAGGAGTTAAAGAATTTGTAATAATTTTAAAAAGGAAGCTCTTATAAAATTTGACTAAATGGAGGAAAATAGCTAATTGAAAGATTCAGTTGCGCCCTAACCGGTTTAGCTCAGTGGATAGAGCGTCGGCCTGCGGACTCAAGGGTCCCAGGTTCGATTCCGGTCAAGGGCATGTACCTTGGTTGCGGGCACATACCCATTAAGGAATGTGCAGGAGGCAGCTGATTGATGTTTTTCTCTCATCGATGTTTCTAACTCTCTATCCTCTCCCTTCCTCTCTGTAAAAAATCAATAAAATATATTTTTTAAAAAAAAGATTCAGTTGCTTGATTTTAGGTTGATTTGAAATTTGCTTAATAAGTATCCATATTTCTATGCAAAGCCTTGTGTGCCTATCTTATCTGTATTCTATTAATTTTCAGCCCTTGCTATGACTGCCTCTCCTTGTGTTAAATGTGTTATCATTTAGTTTTTTTTCTAGTGTAATATCATTTAGACTTTAACTTTTAGTAGACTGGAAAGAGTGTATTACTTGTTTATGCTAATGAAACAAGGTCATTACTCTGCCCAGAAAATGTTCTATTTATTCTGTAAATCTTTAGTGAAAATGCTAAATAAATCTTCAGTGTGTTTGTAGTCAAGCATACTTCTATGCATTCAATATACCATTTTTTTTCTTTTTTGCTCAATTCCTTCACCACCACCACCACCACCCAGACTCCCATTCCCCCAGCTGTCAGCCTGCTTTCTATCTATGAGTCTCTTAGTTCATTTTGTTCATTAGATTCCACATATGAGTGAAATCATATACATGTCTTTCTCTGACTAGCTTGTTTCACTTTGCATAATGTTCTCCAGGTCCATCCATGCTGTCGCAAAGAGTAGGATATCCTTTTTTTAAAGCCGAGTACAGTATTCCATGCCACATTATCCTATATAATAATCCTATATAATAAAAGGGTAATATGCAAATTGACCCTTACATTGGAACGACCAGAATGCCTGCTCGACCAGTCACTGTGAGGTGCACTGACCATCTCTTGGTCCCTTTCCCTGACCAGCAGGCTCCGATTACTATGGCAAATGGGGTATCGGGGGTGGGTTGCATGGGACGCAGGTGGCCCCAGGCCAAGGCCGTCACCCCATACACAGAGGGCAACCCATGGCAGGGTCGGGGCCGGCGGGGTTGGGGCCAGCCGACTTCTCGGTTCCTCCCCCTGGCCGACAGGCTCCGATCACCCGATGGTGAATGGGGAACTGGGGCTGGCTGCAGGCAGCTGGGGAAGATAGCTCTGATCGCATGCCAGGCCTAGGGACCGTACCCACACACGAATTTCATACACCAGGCCTCTAGTTTTCTATATAAACAGGCACTAGTGTTTTAGGGTATGTATTAGTCATGTTCTTAGTGACTTAGAAACATTTTAAACATTTTGCAAGAAATTGAAACTGTTTTTCTTTTCTTTATATTTAAAGTTAAAAGTAATTGTTTCATTATCTTGAAGTTTGATTAAGCACATAAGGTTCCTGATTGATGTGTTCTTGGCAAGTTGTACCTTTTACCAATAAAACTTCTCTGTGCTCCGAGGTTTCTGAATGGTATTTTATTTGATACTGACTTCTTTTTGTTAGCAGTTGCCTTCTATAACTTTTTTTACATTCCTTTTTGGCTTGTAATTGTCATATTTAATGCTCTTGCCATAAGTACCTTGCTTTTTCTTTCTTTCTTTACCCACCCACCCCCCTCCTGCTTTTTGTTGTATTGATCACCTGCCCCACTTAGGAGTTTGTTTTTAGTGGTAAGGAAGCAGTAGACTATTTCTGTTCTTGTTCAACCATAAATACTAGTTTGGGTAGGTATACGATTTTAGATTTTAAGATCAAGATAATCTTCAGAACTTTGAAGTTGTTACATCATTGTTTTGTGTGTTTTTTTATTTTGTTTACCTGATGTTGGTAACATCCTGACACCAGTTTGGTTCTACTGTTTCCTTAGATACTCCTTTCTATGCCTCTCCTTCTAAACTTCAGATAGATAAAATGTTGAAACTTCTGAATTTACATTCCATGTCATTTAACTTTTCATCCAGGCTTCTCACCTCTCTGTCTATCCTCTTTTAAAAATATATATATTTGTATTTATTTCAGAGAGGAAGGGAGAGGGATAGAGAGTTAGAAACATCGATGAGAGAGAAACATTGATCAACTGCCTCCTGCACACCCCCTACTGGGGATCAAGCCTGCAACCTTGGCATGTGCCCTTGACCGGAATCAAACCTGGGACCCTTCAGTCTGTAGGCCGACACTTTATCCACTGAGCCAAATTGGCTAGGACTATCCTCTTTTTTTATTGCATTCTGGCAGACCTTCTTGACTCCTTAGTCTAATATACAATCCATCCATTGAGTTAATTGTTATCTTTTTTAATTTTCAAGATGTCTAATTGGTACTTTTAAAAGCAACCTTTTTAAAAAATATTGATAGATTCATATTCTACTGATGTTAACTTTTGTTTGCTTGGTTTATTCTATCATAAATACTAGTTTTCTCTTTGAGTTTGGTACCTCTATGGTATTAATTTTTCTTTCTGTTAGCAGTTCTTGACAGTGTGGTCTCTTGGAAGACAAGCAAGGTGTACTTGACAGTTGTCTCTGGACATAGGAGAGCTCCACTCCTGGATGACACAGCCCTAGTACAGTCAGACTTCTGCTTTTCTCAGTGGAATGGAAGGGATGTTGAGTTTGCTTTAAATGCAGTTTTCCAGAAATCACCTTAATAGTTCCCTCCCCCCAGAATCATAGCTACCTAAGAGATTCCTAATTGTCTTCTGTTATAGATGTTTTGTGCCTAGGATTTTTCTGTCAAAGTTTATGGAAGACTAGAGGCCCGGTGCACAAAATTTGTGCATGGGGGGGTGGAGAGGGAGGTCCTTTCAGCCCAGCCTGCACCCTCTCAAATCCAGGACCCCTCGGGGGATGTCCAACTGCCGGCTTAGGCTGGTCCCGGGGATCGGGCCTAAACCGGCAATCGGACATCCCTCTCACAATCCTGGACCGCTGGCTCCTAATCACTCACCTGCCTGCCGGCCTGATCGCCCCTCACTGCCTCTGCATGCTGGCCTGGTCGCCCCTAACTGCCCCCCCCTGCCAGCCTGGTCGCCCCACGCAGCCTGCTTGTTCAGTCATTTGATCATCCGTCACTAACGTCCTTGCCGGCCTGGTCACCCCATGCATCCTGCTTGTTCACTCATTTGGTTGTCCCTCACTACCCCCCCACCCCCACCCTGCTGGCCTGGTCACCCCATGAAGTCTGCTTGTTCAGTCATTTAGTCATGCCTCACTAACCCCCCTGCCAGCCTGATCGTAGGCAGCCATCTTGTGAGGGCATGGCAGTCAATTTGCATATTACCTCTTTATTATATAGGATGATTAAAGCTATTGACAAATGGAATATTTTATATTCATCTACTAATTTATTTGTGCTTTATTTGGTTTCTTTTATCCTCACACATACTAGTTTTAAAATATGCTTGTTCCTTATTGACATTGGCTAGCTTAAATTAGCTGTTTTTATATTCTGATCTTAGTTTCCTGCAAATTCTTTTTTGCACACTATACTTAAAAAATATAACCATAGCTGTGGTTAGACTAAAAGAGAAGGTAAACAAAAGGTAAATGGAGGGGGGAAGTAGCAAAGAAAAATGAAGCAAGAGTAAGGGAGAAATGAACAAATAGAAAAAAGGGTTGTTATCTTCTCTTTGTGATTGTGATGTCCTGGGGCTTTCACAGTTCTGTAAGTTGTTTGAGGGAGCAGCCACTTATGCTTTTGCTTTGTCAGTGCTCACCTGTTGGAGATATATGGATTTTTTTCCATAATCACATATTTGTTCAAGTTAGATGATGTTGACAACAAAGTTTTGGATAGAGACATGCCAACAAAGCTCTTGGACCTAATAGCAAGACTCTGGACAACTAGATTTGTCTACAGCAGCGGTTCTCAACCTGTGGGTCGCGACCCCTTTGGCGGTCAAACGACCCTTTCACAGGGGTCTCCTAAGACCATCCTGCATATTAGATATTTACATTACAATTCATAACAGTAGCAACATTACAGTTATGAAGAAGCAACGAAAAAAATAATTTTATGGTTGGGTCACAACATGAGGAACTGTATTTAAAGGGCCAGAAGGTTGAGAACCACTGGTCTACAGAGATGTTTCCCTTATGTTGATTAACATGTTCACAACTGTCCTCAGTGGATATTAACTACCATCTCTTTTGTATTGTGCACATGAACTGTGTAAATTGGGTGTTCCAGGAATCAGACTCTGAGACAAAGACAGTGCAAAAAATGTATTGATGAGCAAACAGTACATTTGGAATAATTGTAATAAAAATGACAGTGTTTCTAGTGTCTGTTCTATACTGTTGACAGTCTAACAGAAAAATAGTAACATGCATAAATAAGTGGTTTTTAAAATAAGACAAATGACCAATGAATATGAAAAAATATTCAAATTAAATAATAGTGAGAAAAATGCAAATTAAAATAATATTGGAATATTAGTTTATACCCAAATTTTTCAACCTTACTACTATTGACATTTTGAATGTGATAATTCTTTGTTGTGGGGTCTGTGCTGGCATTGTAGAATGTTAGAAACATCCCTAAAGTCTGTCCATTAGATACAGTAGCTCCCCTGCCCTCAGTTGTTAGTCAAAATGTTTTCAGATATTGGCAAACGTGCTCTAGAAGGTAAAATAAAAGATAGCAACCATACCTGTTGCTGGTAGGAATGCAGGAAAGTGGTACATTAAAGCACTTCAGCCTTTTTGGGGGAAAGTCTGAGTGGTTTTGAAATTAAAAATATGTAAACCTTTTGATTTAGCAATCCTATTACTGAGACTAGAGGCCCGGTGCATGATCCGGGCCTGGGAGGGATGTGGGAGGTTGGCCAGCTGGGGAGGAACTGCAGGAGGGCTCCAGGGCGTGCCCAGCCCATCTAGTTCAGTACCCATCGGCCAGACCCCAGCAGCAAGCTAACCTGCCAGTGCACCAGCCCTGGTGGTCAGTGCACATCATAGCAACTGGTCAACCGGTCAACTGTCTGGCCCCTGGTGGTCAGTGCACGTCATAGCAAGCAGTTGAGCGGCCTTAGCATATCATTAGCATATTACACTTTGATTGGTTGAATGGACAACTGGACACTTAGCATATTAGGCTTTTATTATATAGGATTATCCTGCTCTACTTAAAACCCTTAAATGGTGCAAGCAACTTGCACCATTCAGGTAAATGACCATTCTGAACACCTTCCTGTTTTTCTTCTGTCAGTTTATCATTTAAGCACTGTGATCTGAATCTATTCCTGACTATTGGTAAGTATTTAATAATTGTTTCCTCTCGTTTTAGAACTCTCTTGATAGAGCCCAAGCAGCCAAGAACAAAGGCAACAAATACTTTAAAGCAGGGAAATATGAACAAGCTATTCATTGCTATACAGAGGCGATCAGTCTGTGCCCTACAGAGAAGACTGTTGACCTTTCCACATTTTATCAAAACAGAGCCGCTGCCTTTGAACAGTTGGTAGGTATCCTAGGTTGTTTTTTCTGGGTTTTTTATTTCTCTTTATTTGTATTATGTTTCAGATAATGCCACTTAAATAAATCTAATGACTTTTTTGAAGTTTTCTTGAAATTAAAGGACTTTTGTTTTTATATCCTTTAATTACATAAGTTTTTTAAGAACAAATTTTAGTTTTGCTTGTTTAAAATGTAATCCAAAGTTATATATATCCGATTTTATAAAATTAGACAGTACAGAAAGCTAAAGTTTCTGGTGACACTATTCTCAACAGTTTGAGGCTGTTTCTTAAACTTTTTGTCTCAATATATGTAGTAGCAAAAGTGGGGGTTAGAGGAGGGGGAGGCCTTGGCTGGGTAGGTCAGTTGGTTAGAACATCGTCCTGATAAGCCAAGGTTGTGGGTTCGATCCCTGGTCAGGGTACATATAAGAGTCAGTCAATGAATGCATAAATAAGTGGAATAGCAAATCAATGTTTCTCTCTTTCTCTCAAATCAGTAAATATAAAAATAAAAAAGACCAAAGATGAGTTCCTATTACACATGTTGTTTGCAACATATTTTTTCAGTTACCACTATATCTTGTATAGCTTTTCATAACATATGTAGATCTGTTTCATTTTTTTAAAAGGCTGTATGTAGTAGCTGTTGTATGATTGTATAATGGAAAACATCTCACTATTGTTGAACATTTGGATAAGTTTTTGTGCATACTTTTGGGAGATAAAATTCTAGAAATTGAAATATAAAAAGATAGCATCAATATCTATTTTCAACAATAATGTGAGCAGTGAACATGCTTGATTTTCAGTATTCTTGCTGACTGATTATCACTCTTTTTTTATTTAATATATTTTTATTGATTTCAGAGAGGGAGAGAGAGAAACATCAATGAGGAGAGAGATCATCAATTGGCTGCCTCCTACATGTCCCCTACTGGAGATCGAGCCCCCAAACCAGGCATGTGCCTTGACTGGGAATCGAACTGTGACCTCCTGGTTCATATGTCAACACTCAACCACTAAGCTACACTGGCCAGGCTGATTATCAGTCTTAATAATATTTGCCACTCCTGTAGAAGAAAAATACTGTCTCATTACTTTAATCTGCAGTTTTTGAGATGTTGCTGAAGTTGACCATCCTTTTCTATGCTTATTGGGCATTTGTATTCTCTGTGTTTATTTGTTCAACCAAATTTTATTAACTGTGTCATATATGGAAGGTTACTATGGCAGGAGCTGAGTCTATATAAAAGCAAGTAATTATGCATAGAACTTTATAGCTAAACAATGAACTACTAAATGACATTTTGCTAAATGCTTTGAAAGACACATGATTCTATAATAGGGGAATGACTGGAGATGGAATTGGTGCATAGAAAAGTGGGGAAGAGAGTATTACAAATAGTGGAAACGCTATGTGTAATTTGAGGCAGGAAAGAGTTTGGTGTGATTAATGAAGTATAAAGGATCCTGGAATATAAAGAGATGAAATTGGGAGAAATAGCAGAGGCCAGATCAAGCAAAGCCTTGCAGTAGTGAAGAGTTTGGATTTGATTCTGAGTATAATGGGAAATATTTAAGGGTTTTAAGTAGAGTAGGAACATCATCTGTTGCTTTTGCCATTCTGTCAAGACTATATTGGAGGAAGGCAAGGGTGAAGGCAGGGAGACCAACTAAGGATGTTGTAGTAGCTTAGATGAGCCATGAAGGAAAGCTGAAACCCAACAGCATTGGATGTGAAGGGTGAAGAGAAGCAGGAATTTTAATAACAGTGGGTTGGGAAGGCATGAGACAGCTAAGTAGACAGTTGACTTGAAAAATGTCTATTTTAGGAGAGTGGTTTGGGCTAAAGCAATAAAGAATCATTTAATTTTAGATGTTATGTAATACCAGAACAATAGATGTGATCACCTAGGGCAGTGGTCGGCAAACTCATTAGTCAACAGAGCCAAATATCAACAGTACAACGATTTAAATTTCTTTTGAGAGCCAAATTTTTTAAACTTAAACTATATAGGTAGGTACATTGTTATTAATTTAATTAGGGTACTCCTAAGCTGGCCTTTGCTAAAAACGTCCTCAATCTGAGGGGTCGACCTCAGCGAACGTACCCCCACTTCTTCTAATGCCACTTCTTCAGAATAGACTCGCCCAGGCTGAAAACCGACTTCTGCGCATGGGCCATGAAGTTTCAATCGCACTGTACTTGCACGCCCGCACGTGGTATTTTGTGGAAGAGCCACACTCAAGGGGCCAAAGAGCCACATGTGGCTCGCGAGCTGCCGTTTGCCGACCACTGACCTAGGGAAAACGATGAGGCCTTGACTAATTCCAGCATGTAGAGATCAGGTAGAGGGAGAATTTAGTGAAGGAAATTGTGAAGGAGCAGCCAGTGAGGTAGGTGAAATCAGTTAGAGTGGCAACTCTTTTGAGTTTGGCAGTAAAGAGGAGCTGAAGAATGGGGTAAAAGCTGCAGGGATTTATGGAATCAATGGAGGGTTTTTAAAAGCTGCTCATGGGAATGATTCAGTAGAGGGGGCAGATTGATGGAGAGGTAGAATGGCTAATAGAGTGGAGTCCCTAAAATGGAGAGAGTGCAGATCCATAAGTGGAGGGTTGGCCTTTGATAAAGAAGGGCGCTTCCTCAGTTCTAGCAGGCAGGAAGAAGAAGATATGGGCACATAGATGCAGGAAGGTTTGTAGATTTGGTGGTAGAAAGTTGGCCTAAGTATGTCCTTTGCCTAGTGTTTTTAAAAATCAGTTTATCTTTTTTTTTCTTTTATTGTTTAAAGTATTACATGTCTCCTTTTTCCCCGGATAGACACCCCCCATCCACTCCCACCCCCGAGGGCAAGCCCCACCGCCCTAGTGTCTGTGTCCATTGGTTATGCTAATATACAAGCATACAAGTCCTTTGGTTGCTCTTTAACTCCCTCCCCTGCCCCTTGTCTCTGGATCTATTTTTGTTCATCAGTTTATGTTGATCATTATATCCCACATATGAATGAGATTATGTGATATTTATCTTTCTCTGACTGGCTTATTTAACTTAGCATAATGCTCTCCAGTTCCATCCATGCTGTTGCAAATGGTAAAAGTTCCCTCTTTTTTATAGCAGCGTAGTATCCCATTGTGTAGCTGTACCACAGTTTTCTTATCCACTCATTTGCTGATGAGCACTTAGGCTGTTTCCAAATCTTAGCTATTGTAAATTGTGCTGCTATGAACATAGGGGTGCATATATCCTTTCTAATTGGTGTTTCTGGTTTCTTGGGATATATTCCTAGAAGTGGGATCACTGGGTCAAATGGGAGTTCCATTTTTAACTTTCTGAGGAAACACCATACTGTTTTCTACCGTGGCTGTACCAGTCTGCATTCCCACCAGCAGTGCAAGGGGGTTCCTTTTTCTCCACATCCTCGCCAGCACTTGTTGTTTGTTGATTTGTTGATGATAGCCATTCTGACAGGTGTGAGATGGTACCTCATTGTTGTTTTGATTTGCATCTCTCGGCCTTCTGTACATCCTTGCTTATCTTTATTACAGATATTTATTTGAGCTATAGATATTCTTGATATGTATTGAAAATACTTTTTTCTGTTGTCAGACTCTTAACACTCAGCCTGTTAAATTTGGAAAACTGATTTCTGTCAAACAGTGCTTTAGTGTGACTTAAAAAATACTTTCAATTGCAGCAAAAATGGAAAGAGGTGGCACAAGATTGTACAAAGGCTGTTGAACTTAATCCCAAATATGTGAAAGCTCTCTTTAGACGTGCAAAAGCCCACGAGAAGCTAGACAATAAGAAGGAATGTTTAGAAGGTGAGGATATTTTTGTGTTTCCATGTGAAAATTAATGGTTTTGTAATCATTGGTAAATTTATATGAAACTCTGCCTGTAAGTAGAGAAATTAGTTGTATTTAAAAGTTCAACTCTTTTCCAATTGAGACTTTGTTTTCTGGTTTAAACTGAGATAGCTGATATTTGAGTATTGTCTCTGTTCAATTATGGAATTAAATGATTATTATGATTTGGATTTAATACACCATACATTTTAAACTTGGCAACTAATGAGCATCAGTGTAATTCCATGAGTAAAAAATCAGGAGTTTTAGTAAGTGGTAGTTTTTCTAAGATTCTACATGTTTTCAGTTAATATCGTATATAAATCTGAAATAATTTTGAAATGACTCATTAAAAGAAAACTTTTTTTGCCCTCAGTATTTTTCAAACATTATTTTATACCCAATTAGAAATTATGTAATTAGTACATAGCATGAAGTGAAACTGCCATTCTTAGTAAATACTGTAAATATTCTGGTACCAAAATTTCAATTATAGTATAGACCACTGGGTTTTTGTTTGTTTGTTTGTTTATTTTTACAGTACATTTGTGTTGGTATTTTTAAAATATATTTTTATTGATTTCAGAAAGGAAGAGGGAGAGATAGAAACATCCATGATGAGAGAGAATCATGGATCAGCTGCCTCCTGCAAGTCCCCCATAAGGGATCGAGCCCACAATCCGGGCATGTGCCCTTGACCGGAATCGAGCCTGGGACCTTTCAGTTCGCAGGCCAATGCTCTATTCACTGAGCCGAACCAGCCAGGGCTAGACCACTGGGTTTTAAAGTACATTCTTCTGGGTGACGTGGAGCTAAATTAAAGTGTAATTTCTACCATCTAAAATTGTTTTCCACTGCACGTTTAAATCTTACATAATTAAAAACATAAAACACTCAGAAGATTTGCCCATAATTATTATTTGTTTAAAAAATATATATTATTTTATTGATTTCAGAGAAACGAAGGAGAAGGAGAGAGAGAGAGAATCATCCAATTGGCTGCCTCCTACATGCCCCCAGTGCCTCCTACACGCCCCCTACTGGAGACTGAGCCCGCAACCCAGACATGTTCCCTAACTGGGTATCGAACCATTACCTCCTGGTTCATGGGTCGATGCTCAACCACTGAGCCACACCAGCTGGGCTAGCCATAATTATTATTTTTTTTAATTTATTTTTATTGATTTCAGAGAGGAAGGGAGAGGGAGAGAGATAGAGAAACATCAGTGTTGAGAGAGAATCATTGATGAGTTGCCTCCTGCACGCCCCCCACTGGGAATCGAGCCTACAACCCAGGCATATGCCCTTGACTGGAATTGAATCCGGGACTCCAGCCCGCAGACTGATGCTCTATCCACTGAGCCAGACCGGCTAGGGCTATAATTATTTTTAATAGTATTATTACTTAAAAGTGCCGTTTTATTTATAAAAACCTGCATTACCAAGTGAGAGTGGTTTATAGAGCATTTTAGAAAAATTTGAAGTTTTATGGCAGTGATGGCGAACCTTTTGAGCTCGGCGTGCCAGCATTTTGAAAAACCCTAACTTAACTCTGGTGCCATGTCACATATAGAAATTTTTTGATATTTGCAACCATAGTAAAACAAAGATTTATATTTTTGATATTTATTTTATATATTTAAATGCCATTTAACAAAGAAAAATCAACCAAAAAAAATGAGTTCGCGTGTCACCTCTGACACGCGTGTCATAGGTTCGCCATCACTGTTTTATGGTGTCATGAACTTTGGTGGTGGGTGGAAGTGTATTGCTTTGGAAAAGAGAATTCTGAGTTTTGAATGAAATCTTGAAGTTATTCATAGATAATTTATAAAGAGGAGGTTAAATGGATTATAATAGGAAAAATGGGATGGGAAAAAGACATTGAAATTGGCACTAGCCAGGCTTTTGGGAGCATAATAGCAGAAAGACTTCTTTGGAGAAGAGAGGATTTGGAATTACAAGAAACTGAGTTCAGAAAAAGGCAACAGCCATTGTTTTAGTACTTTGAATGAAAAGTTAGTAGATTAAGGAATCACTGATCTTTTAAATTGCAAACTAATATATCTTGGAACTATGGCATGACCAGATGAAAATGGTATTTTGAAGTATATTTAATTGAGAGCCTTGGCAAGATGGCTCTGGAAATAATAACTCTGAGGCCTATAAAAAAGACCAGATGTGAGAGCGCCTCCTTATGTTAATTTAGCCTATAGTTACTGGCTCGAAGAGAATGCTCCTGAATTCGTTTTATTTGCTATGTAAAATGTTAGTGCAGTGCGAAACATCACAAATCATGCACTACAGTCTCTTTCACTTCCAGGTGAGGAAAGTGAATCCCATGGAAGTGGAGTGACTTTCTGAGCTTTGAGTTTGGTCATAGAAAATATAAAATAAAATTTAGGAATCAATTTATTGGAAATGAAATTGATAGCCACATACAGCTATGAATTTAGTTTCGCTTTCTGTGGTAAGATTGTGCCCATTTGATGCTGCTAATCATCTTCACAATAATTTCATACTTTTATTTTTCCATTATTTCTAGACGTCACTGCTGTGTGTATATTAGAAGGGTTCCAAAATCAACAAAGCATGCTGTTAGCTGATAAAGTTCTTAAACTTCTTGGAAAAGAAAAAGCCAAAGAAAAATACAAGGTAAATTAATCTGAGTTGGTTAATAGAGGGTGAGTATACATTGTGAGTGGTCATTTCTAATATAAGCTTGAGCGTGATGGTAATGATGACTGCAATTAGATCTGGATTATATTTATTTTTCCTTTTAACTTGGTATTTTGTGGCTTATCTTTTTTAAAATAAGAATGTAGACTGTGTCCAATATTTTACCTGGAGAACATTGAAAGAATTTGTCTATATTAGGAATTGTCAAATGACCCACAGGCCAAATCTCATCTGCCATTTGTTTTTATAAATGTTTTATTGGAACTCAGCTGCTCACACATTATTTTTGGCTGCTTTTAAGCTACCACAGCAGAGTCAAGTGGTTGTGACAGAGGCTGTCACAAATATTGACTAAATATTTACTCTCAGGCCTTTTACAGAAAAAAATTGCCAATTCCCGTTTTATATCATTAAAGTTTTTAAAGTTGTACTATATAAGTAGCTATTAATTTTAAGCATTCAGTAATAGATAGTTTAATTCAAGAAACATTTATTGACCAAAGTTCCATAGTGGGCATTTTAGAAGAGTGGATACAAAGACTGGTCCTTGCCCTTACAGAATTATAGTTTAGTGAGGGAAACCATGATAAGTATAAAAGGCATCATATGGTTGAGTGCCAGGGAAGAATGTGAGTAGAGTGGTGTGGGAGTACCACAGTCATCATTAAATATCCCTAGAGATTTTCTGCTAAAAGTCAGTAATTTAACAGTTGTTCCTTTTTTCTTTAATAATAACTCGATTTTTTTTTAAAAAATTAATTTTAACAAGCTGTGTATATTTTTAACTTACCATTTTCAAATATTAGCTGAGTTAAACAGTTAAAACAGGTTTCATCATGGTAGAACTTTCATATGCTCAGATGAGTTATGAATCTAAGAGGAATATAGATGTAGTGGTTCTCAGTCTCTTTAAACTAATGATCCTTTGTCTCTCATTGAGCACTTTATAGAACTGGTGTTCCTTAAAACACTGTAAAATGCAAATGGAATCTTAAAGTAACCTGGTTTTTTTGTGTTTACTTATTAATACTAGTGACCCAGTGCACGAAATTTGTGCACATTAAAAGGGAATTAATTAGAGGAAATATGTTAATATTGCTATTTGCCCTTTCTCTATAATAGAAGTGTCAGAGATGAAAGAAAATTAGTAAAATGTATATGAAAATCTTCCTCCTGTTAGAGTTTGGGGCACACCACGGGAACCAGAGTCAAGTCCCCGCCCACCCACATGTGCCCCAAAATCGCATAAGACCCAGACCCAGCCGGCCCCACCCCCGTCAAGCCCCACTGAGTGGGGGGCATGGCCTTAGGTTGTCTGGCCTGGCACTGGGGCAGGGGGCGCGCCTTGAGGTCCCCTGGTCCCGGGCCAGAGGACATGGCCTTGAGGTCCCCTGTCAAGCCCTGCCAGGCGGGGGGGTGGGGAGGGGGCGGCCTGAGGTCCCCTGTCAAGCTCCACCAGGCGGGGGGGTGCAGCCTCAGGTCCCCTGCCCTGGCCCAGCGCCACGCAGCCTCAGGTCCCTGCTGATTGCTCGTTAAGGGAACTCGGCCTCCACTGTGGGTGCAGCTATCTTGTGTTATGGAAACCCCACCTCCGCTGTGGGCACTGCCATCTTTGTGATGGTCAATTTGCATATTCCCTCTTTATTAGATAGGATGTCATTTCTCTTTGGATCTCACATTCAGGCTTATAAATCTTTTCTCTTTTTGTCTCTCTAATATGGAAATTTTGTCTTTCTCAAACTCAAAATTTATTTCCATCAAGATTTACTTTTAAAAAATATATTTTTATTGATTTCAGAGATGAAGGGAGAGGGAGAAAGAGATAGCAACATCAATGCTGAGGGAGAATCATTGATTGTCTGCCTCCTGCACACCCGCTACTGGCAATCAAGCCAGCAACTGGGGCATGTGCCCTGACAGAGAATCAAACCCTAACCTCCTGGTTCATTGGTCTGTGCTCAATCACTGAGCCCCACCAGCTGGGCAATGTGTACTTTTAAAAGCATCTTTCACAATCCTCCTCACACCAGCCTCACCTAGTAATCATATGCTTGTCTTTTTGTAGGGAGGAGGGTACATTTCTCCTAAATTGATTACAAAATTTTTACTCTATAATACCAACCATATATTAGGCTTCTTAGTTAAATAAAATAAATGTTCTAGCTCATTTACTTCTTTCAAGAGATAGTTGTATATATAAGTGGCCTTCAATGTTTATCAAATATAATTCAAATCAGATCAGTTTGCAACTTGTAGAAGTGAAGAACCACTAACTCTAAACTTGCAGGAATCACACAGCAGCCTCCGGTTCCTGCACAGTACATGTGGAAATGAGATTCCTTACAAGTAATTGCAAGTTTTGAGCCTGTTACTTATTATAAGATTTTAGAAGTTAGTCTGTTTGTTTTTACGGGTTCTGCAAACCTTGCATTGACCAAAGAAAGAGAACATTTCCTGAATCTTCCAATAATATGATCAAGAATTTGGGAATTTAGTCTGCTTCCCCCACCATTGTTTGTGCAGGATTCTGCTTAGCATCCTTCCCATTATGGAGTGTTCTTTTGAATAGTAAAAGGATTAGGTATCACCAAATGTAAAGAGGCACAGTCTAGTGAAGCTAATAGGGATTTTTATTCATAACCCTTTTTTTCATCTTGCAAATTGTTTTTTTTAATATATTTTTATTGATTTCAGAGATGAAGGGAGAGGGAGAAAGAGATAGCAACATCAATGCTGAGGGAGAATCATTGATTGTCTGCCTCCTGCACACCCGCTACTGGCAATCAAGCCAGCAACTGGGGCATGTGCCCTGACAGAGAATCAAACCCTAACCTCCTGGTTCATTGGTCTGTGCTCAATCACTGAGCCCCACCAGCTGGGCGTACATGCCCTTGACCGGAATCAAACCTGGGACCCTTGAGTCTGCAGGCCAATGCTCTATTCACTGAGTCAAACCAGTCAGGGCAACAATGATATTTGATATACATTTTAAAATACTATATTTTCATTTAAAAAATTTTTGGTTGAATTTTGTGCATAAAGGATCCAATATATGTTATGAGAGCCCTTTGGCTGTTACTTCCTCTTCTCTCTTCTTTTAAAACTTTATCATCTTAGTTGTACTACAAGGAAAAACAGAATACTCCTATAATTATGAGATTACGAGTGAGTTTGCCATGCCAAAAAGCAATAATTTAAACAGGAAATGTGATCCCATCTGGCTTTCAATTGGCACCTACTCTAATGGAGATGTTCAGATGAAGTACAGAGGACCAATGAAGGCCCATGGGATGTGGACTTTACATGTCAACGCATTTGTAAGACATGGTCTATGAGTGGTAAACTGGGATGCTAGTCTTCTAGGACAGGGACCAGAAGGATATCATTTTAACTCAGCAGTTATTTGCCTCCTGGGTTCCAGATTTTACCTTCTTTTACTTTTAGTGAATGGTGTGTATATATATATTTCAGAGAGGAAAGGACTTGAAGGGAGAGGGAGATAGAAACAATACAACAATAATGAGAGAGAATCATTGACAGCCTGCCTCCTGCATGCCCTACACTGGGGGGATCAAGCCCACAACCCGGGCATAGGCCCTGAATTGAACCACCTCCTGGTTCATAGGTCGACGTTCAACCATGGAGCCACGCTGGCTTGGCTAATGAGTGGTTCTAAGGTTCTTAACATTTTACATCTTTGGAGAGGGGAAATGTTCTCACTTAAAACCTGCTTTGAACAGCTAGGGCTGACAGCTTTACCATTTCTGCTGTCTTTTGGTATTGAACCTAATATTCCTCAGTTATTTAAAGAAGAGATTCCAATTTTTATGTCATTCTCAGTGTTGTATAATGTATGGTTTTTTGGTTTGTGTTTTCTCATTTTGATGTGTTTAAACATAATTAAATTTCAGAATCGTGAACCTCTGATGCCATCTCCACAGTTTATCAAATCTTACTTCAGTTCTTTCACGGATGATATAATTTCTCAGCCCATGCTTAAAGGAGAGAAGTCTGATGAAGATAAAGACAAGGAAGGGGAGGTTTTAGAAGTGAAAGAAAAGTAAGTGTGTTAAGTATAGTATCTGCTTATTGTTTTGAGGGAGATTTTATATATATATGTATAATATGTTTCAATGATTTCACACAGAGAGGAAGGGAGAGAGAGAGAAACATCAATGATAAGAGGCAATCATTGATTGGCTGCCTTCTACACATCCCCTGCCGAATCTTAGATGAATCAAGCCCTGACCAGGAATCGAACTGTGACCTGACTCTTGGGTCGACTCAACTACTGAGCCACACTGGCTGGGCTGGGAGAGATTTTTTGGTTTTGTTTTTTTAAGAAATATATTTTTATTGATTTCAGAGAGGAAGGGAGAGGGAGAGAGAGATAGAAACATCAAAGATGAGAGAGAATCATTAATCGGCTGCCTTCTGCATGCCCCACACTAGGAAATCAGGCCCACAACCCGGGCATGTGCCCTTGACCAGAATCGAACCTGGGACCCTTCAGTCCACAGGTCGACACTCTATCCTCTGAGCCAAATCAGCTGGGGCTTGTTTTTGTTTTTTACATGCATAAATGGGGCTCTGACTCATCTAAAAAAAATGTAAATATCCTGATAGCATTGTTATAATAAAAATACTTCTCTTCTCACATGTGTCTATTACATCCTGAGAGTTATTTCGCTGGTGGTTTAAGGTTTTACTGGCAGGAGTTTGCCCTGCTTTTAGGGTCCTGGTGATATTCTCAAGAGAATTCCCAGTGAGTGAGGTGATCAACTGTATTCAAATAGGGACACTAACTTGAAAATTACTATGTAGTTGAATATCCAAATGTTTTAGTGCTGGGAAGTTTATAATTTATAAACTGAGATGCTTAGGAGTACCCAAAAATGACTTTCTTCAAGGTTTTTT